GCTAACCATCGTTTGAATTGCTATACACCATATAGATTTTAAACGCTTGAAAACTCTCGTTTTACGAAGCCCGTTTAACTCCATCCACAGGTTAAATATTGCCAACCCACCGTATGAATTTAAACGGCCTTATGAGACCTATTTTATGAGACCGTTTAAGTCGCTAAACGGCGAATTAAGCGCTGTTGTTTTGTAGTTTTTTTTATATGGCTTACAAATTACCTGGCATTCATATGTACGTTCTCCAAAATATAAATAGACCGGCTGATAGAATTTATAGAGATGCACTGTTAATTTCAAGGAGTTCATTTAACTCCAAAAATGGAGTGAAATAAAAAGGTACAGACTCCTTTTTTGGAGTTGAATTTTACTCCAAAATTATAACTCCGCTTTGGGAATAAGCCTAACTCCAAAGTGGAGTTAAAATAACTCTGTAAAGGAGTTGTTGCAATTCCTTTATGGAGTTGTTTTAACTCAACATTTGGAGTCATGCTTACTGCAAAAGATATACCCCTCATTTAGAAGCAGTGACAAGTATACAAGAACAGTTTAATAAAAACATATATTTTTTAATTAATACTTTCTAACAAAATACAATAATTACAAAATCAAATTTCATTTTAAGATAATAAATAAGTATACCAATAAATAGTTAAATACAAATACATAAAAATTTTTTATCTAACTGTCTATTCATAAAAATATAAAATAGCAGCTATGCTATGTTATAAAATCAAGTAGCTACATGAAGCTCTTTTTTCTACGTTTATTTATAATAGACTATCAGTTTTTTCCTGGAACAAATTTGCTTTTTATTTACCAAAACAATCTTTCAAAGAAAGAAGAATTTGTTATAGTTCTTTTTTTACTGCTTTTCCCTTACCAAAATATTCTATAGAATCTTACATTAAAGAATTCTATAACATATTCTATGCAATATTCGAAAGGAATGTGGAACCTATTCTGTGGGATAGTCTATTGAATATTTAATGTAATCTCTGTAGAATATTCTACACCACGTTCATTAAATATTCTATAGATTATGCTTGCCAGAACTGGACAAATTTACCAACAGATAAATATCACTTCCATATCGATAATATCATTCGAACAAACGTTGATCGAACTCGAAACACAAATATTTCAATTCCAACCAATACATTTTTAGTCGAATGTCAAAAAATTGAGTTCAAAAAAATTGTCGATTTCAAAAAAATTTCGTCCAATTAAGTTAATTAGCATATAATGTATGTCATATAATTATAAACTCCATGTTCCGGTTTCCAATATGCTTTATTTATATATATCGTGAGGTGGGAGTGAAAACAAATTTGTACAGTGCAAGGAAAAATGTTCAATCGATTGTTGTTCTTCGTGTATTTGTCTGCATCACAGCTGTTATGGCAATTTCTTCATCAGGCGCACTCTCTCTGACTTTTTCTGTATACTAGTAGATTTATATCTCACCACATTGCTATGGGCAACGACGTCGAGTGCCATCGCTGAAAAATTGATTGTGCTTATCGATTTCTCAGCATGACAATCAGTAATGACATCATTGTCCACAACACCGTCATTAGTAATTTAAAGGTCTTTTGCTTTAAGCTTTTTGCTGGCTTTCTTTCTATTTCTGCTAAACCAGATACTTAGCTTTGCTTTAAAGACATCAGTTTTGCACCACTTCTGCCTGTCTATGGATTTTTCTTTGGTGTTGTTGGTAGTTGCTTGAACGATGACGGCAATTTCATTGAGCAGTTGACTGGTGTTTAGAACATACGGTATTGACGGTTATCTGCTTTCGAGCCGGTAGCCCAAAAATGATTGCATTTTCCCTTGGAGCTGAATCTTTAAGGAATTTGTAGCACTTTTTTAGTTTGAAGTTCATGTTTTCAAGAAGTTTGCTATCTCGCCAGCCTATACAGCGATATATGTCATGTTTATTTATCTGTCCTAGAATTTCACAAGACCGTTTTGGAACAATTTCAGTACCAAAAGAGACTCCATAGACTTTGTTAGCATCTTGTTTGCTCCTAACAGCAAACTTTTCTCTTTTTTCGTCTACAATAATGACGTAGCTATTTTGAATATTTCTGATGCATCACGTCGTTTCATGCAGTGCTTGATGTTTGCAAGGGCCGCGGAAGTATCTCAAAAGGGGGGGGGGCACCAGGGGCGGATCTAGGGGTAGGCACCATAGGCAAGTGCCTATGGTGAAATTACCAAAATATACTTCGACTTAGATTCGATACGAATTTATCGAATTATGAAACTATGAATAGCACTTTATCGCAGTCAAATCATCTGACTTTTGTTTAGAAATGTTGTGCAATTAATTGACGTAATTTTGATATGAATCGTAGTCCAGATGCGTATGATTATCTATAAAGCTCCGTGTCGTTAGGCAAAGCAGCCATTTTGCCTAAGTCAAGAAGGCGATCTAGCCATTTGATTGGTTGTTAGCAATTTGCCTAAACAAGATGAATTTGCCTAACTTGACATCGTGTATAGGTATTCTGACTGGGCAATTTTTTGCAACCGTATGCTTTCATTGGTCAATTTTTTTTTGCCTAACTTGAGCAATTCCAACCAATCATTGCTGTTGATAAGCATAGTTGAGCTAGGCAAATTAGGCAATTGAAAATTTACATAAACTCGTATTGTTTCTGAACAGCCTCTGTGCTCAGTTTACGGTTTGGTGATATTTTATAATGTCTTCATTGTGTTGTGGTAATTTATACGAGACTGCTCAGTCTGCGTTGGCCAAAAACGATTTAAAATGCCTTAATGAGCTTTATTCTCGTTTATTGGTCGACGTTCGACCTATGTTTACTAACGAGCAGCTGTTAGATAGAATTTATGACCCCGACCATACTCTGTGTCGAAATTTTGGAGCTGAAATATATGTGCCAAAGCACGCTCATGACGGAAAGACTTGTACTGCAATAAGGTAAATATATTATAATTATATATATCGTATTGTAGTATTTATATATACGTGTAAAATGGTTAAATCTCAATTTTGCTAGGCTATATCTTTGTCTACAGTCAGCAATTCATTCATACAATGCAATCAATCTACCAAACAAAATATTAATTTCTTTTCTTGAATATTTTTTAAGATCTGAAGCTTCTGGCAATTGCCTCTACAGTTCAGCTTCCCTAGTTCTGGTAGGTAACAATGCATTGGTCCCTACTTTGCGAATTTTAACATCGCTTGAGCTATTTATTCATGCTGCTTTTATGCTCAACACCCATGCTTTTTGTCTGTTATAAGTGAGCACAGTGATTACTTTGCCCAAAGCTTAAACAATCTTTTGCCTTTGTCAGTGTCTAAAGAATGTTTAGACACTGGATATACAACAGATGAACTGGTAAAACAGGAGGCTATTTTAAATTGTAATGACCAGAAATGGTCATCTTTTCTTTGTATTTTGGGCCTATCTTCTGTTTTAGGTAGAAAAATTCATACTTTTATCCTGATTCTGGTGAAAGTAGATATAAATTGTTATTTAATCGTATTGTTCAGCCCCGGTTATTAAGCCAAAGAGGTTTGGATGCTATTAATATTTTGTTTTGTCATGAAGGATCTGTACAACCAGGTGAGACTTTTCAGTCTAATCATTTTGTGCCTCTCATTTTCCATGCCCACAGGTTGAAGCGAAAATTGTCTAATTCCTGTACACAGTCTAATTCTAGCAGCTCAACAACAGAGAAACGAAAATTTGTCAAAATTTTTCCAAATATTGCACCAAAAACAGTTGACATTTCAAATTTTTTTACTTCAACTAATAGGCCTGCTGCCCAACCAACTTTTAAAAGGATGCCCAATGAGAGTTTTTCTTCTGCTGCAGCTCTTGCTCAGACATTAAATAAAGCCAATAGTCTTTTGCTTCACACATCATCCCAGGAACTATTGCCTGGTATTCCAACTTCTGGTGATATGCAACCTGCTGTTTTAACCCATAATTTTGATGTTTCCTTGTATAGGGAGAAAGTTAAGGGTATGGATAATTCTGAAATATGTCATTTGATAAAAAATGTATATAAACCAGATAAAAAGTATCATTTTCCTAAATCTAATGGCAGATCATTTAGGCATGATTGGCTAGACCAGCATGAATGGCTTTGCTATTCACCTTCACAAAATGGTGCGTATTGTCTATCGTGTGTGTTGTTTGGCAATAGATTCCCAGGCAAGGCCAGTAAAGTAAAAAAGTTGTTTACTGAACCTCTTCAAGATTGGAAGAATGCTAAATGCTCTTTCACTCAACATGCTGGAAAAAGTAAAGGGAGGGAAGTCGGTTTGCATGCATCCACATCACCAATTTTGATGCTTTGCGTTCCCAAATATCAGGTACTCTGCAGCCTATCGAGATGATCATGGATGCTGGTATCAAGAAAGAAATAGAACAGAATAGGAAATACTATCTCCAATTATTGATTCTGTCATTTTTGTGGACGTCTAGGTTTACCTCTTCGTGGGCATCGTGATGATTCCAAGTATCACCCTACTGTTGGTTGTTATTCATCTGGAGGGTTGGTAATTTCATTGAAACACTCAATTATGGAGTTAGGAGAGGGGATAAAGTTTTAGAAAATCATTTAAAGAATTGTGGTAAGAATAGAAGTTATATTTCTAAAACAAGTCAAAATAAAATCATTAAATGTTGTGGCCAGGTAATCAGTAATCAGATTATTTCTGATATCAAAAAGTAAGTTTTTTCTGTTATTGCTGATGAAGCATCTGATTCTTCACATAAAGAACAAATGTCTCTTGTTTTGCGCTTTGTTGATACCGATATGAATATCAGGGAAGAATTCATTTCATTTCTTTTTTGTAAGTGGGGACTAAGTGGTGCTCAACTTGCCAAGCTACTTTTAGAGGCTCTAAAGGAACTGACTTTATCAATAGATGATTGTAGGGGCAAGGTTATGATGGGGCTGGTTCAGTTGCTGGTTGCACTAATGGTCTAGCAGCTCACATTTTTAAGCTCAACCCAAAGGCTCTTTATACACACTGCTATAGTCATAGGTTAAACTTATCCATTTGCGATTCTTTGAGTATACGTGTTGTCAATGATATGTTGAAACATGTTAACAATGCCACTAATTTTATTAAAATTTCCCAAACTCGCAATATTCCCTTTGAAAAACATATACGTAATTCAGAAACAAACTCGAAAAAGACTAGATTAACAGACGTTTGCAAAACTAGATGGGTAGAACGTATCGAAGGTTTAGATACATTCCAAGAGCTTTTTGTACCTGTATACACCACCCTTAACGATATGTCTGAAAATCTAGATGGTGAGTTCAAACCGTCGCTTCAGTCTGATGCCTCATCTTTGTTTCAACTTATTGACAGGTTTGATTTCGTCGTTGCTTTAGTTATCACGAGAAATATTCTTGATTCAACTCTTCCAGTAACACAGTTATTACAGGGTAAGAGTATCGATATAATGGATGGTATTCATTTAATTTCAACTTTGAAAACTGAGGTGGTGAACATGAGGAATTCCTCTGATTTTTATCATGACACCTGGTATGACGAAGCGCTTGAACTGGCAGCAAAAGTTGGCATTGAAGAATGGAAACCAAGAACAGTGCGCAAACAAACGACCAGGGAAAATATTCCCCACACAACCATTTCTGAGTATTATAAACGTGCAATTACTCTTCCTCTACTAGATCATTTGCAATCTTCTTTAGAATCACGATTCGACCTTGAGAGTGTGAATGTCTATAAAGGCCTTAGCATTGTACCGACGAAAATGATGTCCATGACAAGAGATGGGGTGGATTGGAAAGAGCCATTCAAAACTGTGGCTAACTTTTATTATGATGATTTGCCAAATCCTTTGGCCTTAGATGCTGAACTTAGGTTGTGGTACACTTATTGGGAGACCCACTGCGGCCTCCTTCCTGATAACATTGCCCAGACTTTAAAATCTGTTCATTTCGCCGGATTTGAAAACATTAAAATTTTACTACGTATTTTAGGAACGCTCCCCATTACCTCTTGTGAATGTGAACGATCTATTTCTTCCCTTAGGACACTTAAAAACTATCAGCGAAGTACCATGGTTGGGGAACGCTTAAATGGTTTGGCCTTGATGCAAATTCATCAGGAAATTGTACCAGATATTGGTGAGGTTATTAATACTTTTGCTGTTGGAAATACAAGGCTAAAATTTGCATGAATTTATTCATATCCTAGTTTTTTATTTTGTTGAAATGTCCATATGTTAACCATTTATTGTGCGTTGTACACAATAGTAACGTCAATAGAATTTGCATCAAACTAATAGCTCGCCCGATAAAGGTTTTTTTCCTTATATACATTCCAATCTTAAAACTGCTGAGTACGTGTATGGTACTCGGCCGTTGTCGACATAAATTTACTTTCACAAAAATTGTTAAGCATAAATAGAATAATTTTTCCTTACACCAAATTTTAGTCTTCACAAAGACTCTTTATACAAAGCTCTATTTTGACTATTACATTACATTTACATTTTGCTCATTTGTTGGCAAATGAGAGTGCACATTTTAGGGGGGGGGGTAAAGGGTTGGAATTGACTGGGATGGTGTAAGAAACTGAGCAATCTTACATCCATGGAATGTCCCACATAGTCACCCATTTCTAACCAAACTCCTTTTGCTATTTGCTAAAGGTGTGAAAGGCGAGTTTCTGGCGCCTTCAAAAACCAGAGTGCTCATTTTTAGGTGGGGGGTAAAGGGTTGGAATTGACTGGGATGGTGTGAAAAATTGAGCAATATCACATCCATGAAATATCCCATATAGTCACCCATTTCTAACCAAACTCCTTTTTCAAAGGTGTGTAGGCGAACTTCTGGCGCCATAACCAGTCTGCTTAATTCGGCTCTCACAGGGCTGTCCTTGCCGGATCACGATTTTTTGTTTTGCGTTAAAGTGTTCCTAGGCATGCTGATGAGCCCTGATATGGGGCGAAACAGTCTTGTGTGCATTCAATATTCTGAATAGTGAAAATCAACGACCTTGTGATATGTAAGTATAAATATACAATGTTTTTATGTATTTATACGATTGAGATCTACAAGATTCTGCATAGCTGAATGATTAGACTGCTTGATTTAAACAATTTATCGAAAGCATAAATAGTGTAGTATGTTTTGCAAAGTATGACGTCATAGGTTTAGCACTGAATGACGTCATAATGTTCTGCCTATGGTATCCAAAATCCTAGTCCGCCCCTGGGGGGCACTGACCGAAAAGGGCATGTGAGTTTGCAGCTTACTGTTTTAGTATATTACAGATATGCATTGTTTCATGAATCATGATTAAGTTTCAAAGTCTGCAAAATATTGGTAGACATTCTTAGAATGCTATGCGTATTCTCTACTGCTCGGCGGGCGTGCTAACAAATTGAACTAAGATGACTACATGAACAATTTTATTAAGTAATGCGATCTCATTAAAATTTCCCAAAAAATCTAACCCTACGTTCGTTTTTCAGAACAAAGTCCTTAGCTATTAAATGTAAGTCCAGTTCGTCAGTTCTGGCCTTGTTTACATTCATAACAATAAGATTATTGTAGCGTGCTGCCGTCATTGTGCTCCTGAGATGTGTCTTCACAAGCCGCTGGCATGAAAAAGATCATTCTCCAGAGGCTGCGCTCATTGGAGCAAGAAGGTAAATCTGCAAAAGTCGGACAACATTGGACATTGCCATTACAATCTGCGATGAGTTATTTTCTTCGGTTGAGAATATTGATGTTATGGTGTCAATTGATGTCACCTTCTTTACTTCTGGAAGTCGCTGCGAGATAATTCCTTCAAGAAGCTTTAACTCCGCCTTCAGCTGGTCAAACTCGAGGTCATTTTCGTAAAGGTGTTCAACTTCATCGTTCAACTCAAACTTACGCCCGTTTGCTGCATTAATGAACACGGTTTCGATGTTCATCAATACAGAATATGTTTTTTGATCGAAACGCTCCTGTAGTGAAGCCAAGCACGCATCAATTGCCTCAACATACTGGGCACGGTGGGCGTCTTTCGCAGTTTGGAAATGATGTTGCTCGCCATCTCCGTGTTGAAGACGCCACGGAGCTTTCTTCGGTCTTGGTTGTGTTGGATCGCCTGCAAAGTTGATAGCCTTGCTTGAAGCAACTATTTGGTCGTAAAACAAAGAGAAGTTGTCTCGTTGACGCTGCAAGTTTGTCTTCAAGGCATTTATGCAAGTAACAGTTGACAAACGAAAACAACCCATATCGATAAACGCGATTTTTGATCCATCTGGGTATTCAAAATCAAAAACTAAGCTATAGCCAACTTCGCATGATGCTCACAGACTTTGTTCCACTCTCGGGGCTACTTGTATCTAAGAAAAACTTCTTCAGTCCAATTTTACCTAAAACAAGGGCATTTCCGTAGCATGAAAAAGGGCACTTTCATTCCAGAAAAAGGGCACATTTTTCCCTGTTGCAAAAAGTGGGGGGGGCACTTCCCCCAATGCCCACCCCGGTTCCGCGGCCTCTGGATGATTGTATGTGGCCTTTCTTGTAAGTAATTTGCTCTTTGGCATTGTAACTTCGGTAATTGCTGAACAATTTCGTACTGATTTTTATATAGCTTTTAAACGAGATAGAAATCGGGCATATAAATTAAACATAAAAGACAGGTTGATATGCTATAATTTTTAGCAGTAAACTGTACATTCATATGCAATGTATTTTTATGAAACTTACTTTAAAGTAGTGATCAAGAAGGAAGTCTTCAATCAAAATTGTCAACATAGAGCTTATTATGATGTTCTTACATCCCTGTAAATGAAAAAAACACCTCTTCTTTTTTTTCTTCACTATACCATACGAGGCTTCTTAAATAATTGTACAATTGTTTATTCTTTAAAAATAACTCCACAAGCTAATTGTAATTATGAATAGAAGGTGTCAACTTCACATTACAGATAATCATATCTTTTAAAAAAATTTTTCTTTATTTTTCTGTTATTTTTCCCCATTCAGAAAGATATGCTTCTGCTAATTTTAAATTTTGTTCCATTTCAAATCAATAGAGTTAGGAGAAGCAACAAGAGAAACACTATTAAAAAAAACTTATATGAATATAATGGATAAAATATATAACTTTTTAACTGAGTTTAATTGTAGTAAATGTATATATATATATAGCTTATCAAATAATTGTAAATATTGAAGTGGATTATCTTTTAATGAGTTTATTATTAATCATATAAATCATATTGAAAAAAAAAGACCAAAAAAAATAAAAAAAGAATTCAAAAAATGGAAAAATAAAAAAAACACTTCATATTATTACAAAGTTATATGAAACTATAACTTTGTTATTTTTTATTTTAGAACCAATAGAGGGCATAAAAGCTGAAGTCAATGTCCTTTGCTAACATAAATGGAATATATAGAGAACTATTTTATAGCTATTGCTTTCCTTGTACATCATGCTAAAATTATAGACATGAAATTAATATATTAGAAAAACCAAAACCATTTAGCAGTCCTTTAATATATTAGAATAACCGAAACCATTTGGCAGTACTTTTAATAAAAATTTTGAAATATAACATTTTAAATTGTAAAAACATGCAATTTATTAATTTTTATTGATGAAAATTGTTTTGCAACTTTTTTGCATTTCTTTTTCATTTTTTTACATTTTTAAAATTACTTTTTTCAATTTTTTGCTATTTTTTACATTTATTTTCATTTTTTTCCATACTTTTACAATAATTTCTCTATTTATATATTTTTCTATAAATACTTGCGATATTCTATTTTCTCATTTTAAAGATGTCGTTGAAGAGTAGATTGAAGTCATTTTTTTGTTATCTGAAATGGTATGGTATTGTGAAGGACAATAATTTTTCTTATTTTGTTTTCTTCATCTTGGCTTTCTTTATTGTTTACATAAATCAATGATGCTTGACAATCATCCAACTAATAATGGTATTTGTGAATAATTTGATCTGGATTTATTGGTAAGAACATTTTAGTACTCTTATTTGTTAATTTTGTTACACTAACATATTTAACATATTTTTTTCCTTAGAGGTATATTGATAATGATGATCATTGAAATGAATATGATATTGATGATGATGATTATATAAAAAAGTTTCTATAATTTTAAAATTGGACTTTGTACTTTATATAATTTTACTCTGTAATCGGACTTTGGACTTTAGACAATGATATGTTGTGTATTGTGTAGTAAATATGCTTTTTTTTAAATATACTTGTTTTACAAATAACTTATTTTCTTATTACATTTGATTTTAATATATAAATGTATATCATCACAAGCTCACCTTTTCCTTAAGCTTAAAAACGCTGACTGCCTTAAAAACGATCCCCCCGGTTTTTTTTATTATAGATTGTATTTTAACTATTTTCAGACATAATACAATTTATAATAAAAAATATGAGCGTGCGATGATATGCATATATATATATATATATGCTAACAACAACTCATGGAAAATCACAACCGAACTAGACCAAGACGATATCATCGACCTGCTCGAGCTCTGCCTCTCCACTGAATTCACCTTCCAAAATTCATATTACCGACAAATCTCAGGAACACCAATGGGTTCTCCTTTATCCACCTTCCTTGCAGAAGCTGTTATGCAACACCTTGAAAAGCATTCAATCACCAACAACACACACATCAGACTATGGAGAAGATTTCTTGACGATATCTTTGCTATCGTCGAAAAAGACAAAACAGAAAACATTCTACACACAATAAACAACACCACACAGAACATAACCTTCACCATGGACAAAGAACAGAACAAACAACTTACCTTCCTAGATATTCTACTTACCAGATCACATGACGGCACATTAAGCACGCAAGTATTCCGCAAAAATACACACACAGACCAAATACTCAACTTCAATAGCAATCACCCAACACAACACAAAATTAGTTGCATACGAACTCTCTTTAACAGGATTAAAACACACTGCAATACAGAAGAAGCCAAGAAGAATGAACGCAACTACTTATACTCTACATTCATAAACAACAATTACCCACGAAACTTTATCAACAAAGTATTAAACAAAATACACAACAAACCACAAACTGAAAAACCTAACGAAGATACAGACGAACCAGTAAAAATAGTGACATTACCATATATAAACGGCACATCAGAAATGACATCAAGACTACTCCGACCATTCAAAATAAACATCGCACATAAACCAACACACAAACTCAAATCATACTTCACTAAACATAAAGACCGAACAACGACATTTGACACAACCAACGCGGTCTACATGATACCATGTAAAGATTGCCCCAAACAGTACATAGGACAAACATCCAAGAAAATTGAAACAAGACTCACTGAACACAAGAATGCCATCAAACGACGCGACCCAAAATCACTACCAGCAGAACATACCTACGATACCAACCACACATTTGACTGGACAAAAACACAACTTCTTGGACGCGCACAGACAAAACACGCACGAGAATTCAAAGAGGCATGATACAGCAAAGACAACAACACAATAAACACACATATTGACATCCCCATCATCTATTCACAACTAAAGACAAAACCAAAACAACAAACTAATAACACAACGACTAAAATAAAACACTCAAATTTCATTAACGCAATTCCTTACACCCGAAACCATGACAACGCATCTTATACCATCCAATAATATCGACTCAACTACTAACCAAGCACTCAGACGCTCCAAACGCCTACAAAATCTTTGTAAATAATATATTCTTACATTCTGACGAATACGGTGGCCCACAGGTGTCACGGCACAAACAAAATCTCACGGCACACACAAAACTTCTCACGGCACACACAAAACTTCTCACGGCACGCACAAAATCTCACAGCACGCACAAAACTCCTCACGGCACACAAAATCTCACCGCACGCGCACAAAACTTCTCACGGCACAAGAGCAGTATTCAAAGAGACTGGGACTGATAAACATAAATAAAATATGGCGGAAAACGAAGGCGAAAGTTCTTTTGAAAGTGCGAGATTTTGTTGTATGTGTGGTACAGAGCACAAAAGCAATGCCAAATTTTGTACACAGTGTGGAATAGGTAAGTTATATCTAATTTTTCAAACAATATAATTGAAAAATATGTCAACAGTGGCGTAGTCAGCATGAAAGTTTTGAACGACAGATTG